TTACAAATACTCTTATCCGTATCAGTAGTATTACTAGCTTCTCTGTGATTCACATGATTCGTCTTATTTGTACTAGTCGCCGCAGTCCTCTTATGCTTATTACGATTATTAATAGTATGAGTCGTCTTCTTTTCCTTCTCATTATTATTGATAGTAGTAGTAAGAGTAGTAGTAGTAGTAGTAGTAGTAGTAGTAGTAGTAGTCGTAGTAGTAGTAGTAGTAGTAGTAGTAGTAGTAGTAGCCGTCGTAGTAGTAGCAGTAGTCGTAGTAGTAGTAGTAGTAGTAGTACTAGTAATAGTAGTAGTAGTAGTAGTAGGAGTAGTAGTAGTAGTAGTAGTCGTAGTAGTAGTAGTAGTCGTAGTAGTCGTAGTAGATGTAGTAGTACTAGTACTAGTACTAGTACTAGTACTAGTATTGCTCGCCTTCTTCTTCTTCTCCTCCTCCTCCTTCTTCTTCTGCTCCTCCTGCTCCTGCTCCTGCTCATGCTCCTCCTCCTCCTCCTCCTCCTCCTCCTCCTCCTCCTCCCCATCTACTCGGACCCCATCTGGGAGGCCTCTAGATCATCGCTCTCGCCACTCTTCCGACCTCGACGGGCCCAGCTCCGCACCCGCCCCACGCCAGGGCCGCCCGCCCACGCCTCTGCCGCCGAGGGCCGGCGCGGGGGCGGCGGCGAGAGCGAGCAAGCAGGGCGCCGGCGGGAATCGCGGCAGCGTCCCTGAGATCCTGGCGCTGCAAGTTTTTCACCACGGGCATCGTCGCTCCATCTCGGGCCCCCGGGACCTTCTCGGAGCGATCTGGCTGGAAAAAAGACGCAGAAAGATTGGGTCTGGGGCTCTGGTCGTGATTTTTTGCGACGCTGCAATTCTTTGGCAACGTCGGGCGGGTCTCAGGGGTGCCGGCCCCGGGAGACCTTGTCTGTCCGTCGCGGCCCTATCCGTGTCGAACCCGTGTCGGATGTATGTTGGACTCGCCAGGTCCGTGTCGGCTCCGTGTCGAAGCCGCGCCGAGCTCACGCCCAGAGCCGCGTGGAGTCCGCATCGGGCCCGCGCTTGGGGGACTGGCGCAGCCCCCCGAAGATGCAACGTAACCACTGGTGCAGAAGAAAAAAACACATGAACATAAACTTTTGGCGATCCGCGCGGAGCGCCACAAATTTATTCCCTACCTAGGCTCTGCCTAGAAAGGTTATTACTCGGTGTGCTTAAAGGGCCGGGCAGTGCAACCCGCCCTGGGCGGTTCCCCCAGTATCCGCCCCGCGGTTCCCCCAGTTACGTCCCCTTAGCTTAGCGTTGCTTATCTCATCTTAGCTTAGCTTATGTCATATTAGCTTAACTTAGGTTCATCTTAGCTCAGGTTTATCTCAGCTCAGGTTTATCTTAGCTTAGCGTACCTTCATATTAGTTTCGCTGAGCTTTAGCATAGCAGAGCACAGCACAGCATAGCATAGCGTAGCATAGCATAGCGCAGCACAGCATATCATAGCATAGCCCAGTATAGCATAGCATAGCGCAGCACGCCATACCATACCATAGCATAGCATAGCGCAGCAGAGCATAGCATAGCATAGCACAGCACAGCGCAGCATAGCATAGCATAGCACAGCAGAGCATAGCATAGCAGCAAAGCAAAGGCAAAGCAACAGCAGCGACAGCAAACCAAAACACAAGCAACGCAACGCAAAGCAAAGCATTAGCATGGGTGTAATTCCCTACCTAGGCTCTGCCTAGAGGGTTAGCTTAGCTTAGCTTAGCTTAGCTTAGCATAGCGCAGCGCTGCAGTGGTATAGCATAGCAACTCATAACATAGCCACGCATAGCATAGCATAGCATAGCATAGCGCAGCAAAACATAGCATCGCAAAGCATAGCATAGCATAGCGCAGCTTATCATCTAATAGCATAACATATCATAACTTAGCATAGCACAGCGCATCATGCCATAGCATTGCTTAGCATATCATAGCATAGCATAGCATAGCGCATCATGTCATAGCATAGCATAGCATAGCGCAGCATAGCATAGCATAGCATAGCAACTAGTGCTGCTTTCCTAGGGGCTCCAACATCGAGGTAGGGTCGCACTGGGGTAATGCTTATGTGTTTTTGTTCTGCTTCGATGGCGGGAGGAGCGTGTCCGAGGCGCAGCACCACGGCACGCCAGCCATGGCACCCTCGCGCGCCGCAGCCGCACCAGGGTGCAACAGAAAGCCGGGAGAGGGGGCGACGAGGCAGCGCAGGCCCCGCGGAGCACGAAGAGCGCAGCGGACCCGCGGGTGCGCCAGGGCGGGAGGCGGAGCCCAGACGTGTCGGCCACGTTGTATTTGTTCGTCGGCGGCGAAGCAGAGGCACTCTCCTCCCCTTGTCTCCCCTCCCCCTCCCCCCCCCCCCCCCCACCCTCCCCCTCCGCCCCTCGCCCTTCCCCCCCACCCCCCAATCTTCATCTCCCGCCTTCCCCCCTCCGCCCCCCTCCCCCCCTCCATCCCTCCATCCCATCGCCCCCTCCCCCCCTCGCCCCCTCCACCCCTCCCCCCGCTCCAGCGTGTGGCTATTCGGGGCGACCGAAAGGCAAACTGTCCGGCGTGCAAGATGAAAGGAAGAAGACGAGGGCGGCCGCGCGAGGGGAGGAGGGGGAGGGAGCGCTCAGATGTGAAGGGTTCCGCGAAGAGCAGGCCGGACCGGCGACACACAGTGCTTTAAGTCAACGGAGCAAGAGGATCCTCAGGCGCGAGCAGCAAATGGAATGCGAACTGCGATCGAACACTGTCCAAGGCACAGTGTACACACACACACACATTCTTGGCGTCGCGGCCACGGGCGAGGCGGCGCGGCGTAGAACAGGTCGAGCGAGCGCGCGCTGCTGGCCAGGCCCACGCGGCGAGGAGAGGCTGGACCCACCCATGGGGGATCGAAAGCAAAACTCACGGGGGCACAGACACTGGCATGCTCCTCCTCTGGCGCTGTGCATGTCATGTCGTGAACGCGTGCAGGGCGGCGGGGGATGCAACACGAATTGCGTCCACGCGTTACATCCACGCAGGTCCTGGGTGAGAGGCGAGCTGACCGAGCAGCAGGACGAAGAGGGGGCAACGTGTAAGCCACACACACACACTCTCTCACGCTGTCCCTCTCTCTCTCGCATTCACACACACATTCCTTGGGGAAACCAACAAGTACACTCCTTGGGAACCTCTCCTGGGGCACGTTATGACCCAGATCCCGAGGCGAATCCAGCGGTGGCGACGAGGGCCCCTCAGGAAGCCGGCAGAGGGGAAAACGAGGCCAGGGCAGCGGGGTTGGCACCGCTGCCTCCCCTGGCACTTGGCGCCGCGGCCACGCGCGCAGCGGCGCGGGAGGGAGCCGCGAGGCACGCGGCGCGGGGAGGCAGCCGCGAGGGGGAGGGCGAAGGGGGGCGACTCTCGGAGTCTAGGTTCGAGGTCCCACCCACACCACACACAACACCCACTCACACACACACACACACAACACACACACACACACACACACACACACACACACACACACACACACACACACACAACACACACGCCCGCCCGCCCCCCGCCCGCCCGCCCGCCCGCCCGCCCCCCCCCACCCCCCCCCCCCCCCACAACACAACACACACACACACACCACACACACACACAACACACACCACAAAAACACCACACCCCACACACACACACACACACACACACACACACACACACACCACACACACACACACACACACACACACACACACACACACACACACACACACACACACACACACACACACACACACACACACACACACACACACACACACACACGCGCACACACACACACACGCACACGCACACACACACACACTTTTAAGTCGGCGGCTACATAGGCACAGTCGCTGCGCTGGCGCGGCAGCGTTCCAGGGATGCACAGAACGCGCGCTGGGCCGCCAGGCACGGGGGGAGCGAGGAGGACGCCCCCGGCGCGGGCAGGAGGGAGGAGAACGCCAGGCCCGCTCAGAGCGGAGCTAAGCGGCTGGGCGGCGGCGGGGCGGGCGCGGAGGGCGGGGAGACGTGAGACTCCTCCTCCTCCTCCTCCTCCTCCTCCTCCTCCTCCTCCTCCTCCTCCTCCAGGGGGGCTCGGGTTGGCCTGACGGGGCCATCGTGAAGGTGACACGACCCAATGTGAGATTTGACGCGAGCTCCCGCTGCAAACGTCCCGCGAAAACCAGACCGTCGAAATCAAGGACGCGCTCGTTCAAAAGCCTTGGCAAACCCGAGTCCCGGCGTACTCGAGTCTTACGCTCCCCCGAGCACACAAGCACTTGGGGCTTCAACTCTGACCTATGTCCCTTGATTGTTTTCGGTTTTGGGTTGTCGTTTGTTTTTCTGCTTTGGGTTGCTGTGTTCCGCTCGTTGTGGGCCCAGAGGGTGTCGATCTTGCTTTTTTCCCCACATCCAAAGTGGGGTTCTTGTTTTCTCTGCACACCCCCCCGCGCAGGATCTCACACCCTCTCTCTCTCTCTTCCTCTTTCTCGCCATCATCATCATCAGTCATCATCATCATGACCCACGCCTCTCCTCCTCAGCACCATCACACTTACCCATACACCACTCGATCGCTCACTCACTCACTCACTCACTCACTCATCATGATCATCACATGAGGATATCATCCGTTGGCGTCACACATCACTCAGTCAGTCCGTCACTCACTCGAGATCAAGCGGGAGCGTCGTCTGTGAGTGAATTGCGAGGAAGTCTCAGGCGGGAGCCTCTCCCTATGGGGCCCGCAGATCATCTTACTAATCCGAGGCGGGTCATCGGGATCCTGTAACTGTCGTCACTTTTGGGCTCCTGGGGCGTGAATTTGGAGGAAGTATCAGGCGGGAGCGTCGTCTGTGAGTGAATTGCGAGGAAGTCTCAGGCGGGAGGCCTCTCCCTATGGGGCCCGCAGATCATCTTACTAATCCGAGGCGGGTCATCGGGATCCTGTAACTGTCGTCACTTTTGGGCTCCTGGGGCGTGAACTTGGAGGAAGTATCTAGCGGGAGCCTCGTCTGTGAGTGAATTGCGAGGAAGTCTCAGGCGGGAGCTTCTCCCTATGGGGCCCGCAGATCATCTTACTAATCCGAGGCGGGTCATCGGGATCCTGTAACTGTCGTGACTTTTGGGCTCCCGGGGCGTGAATTTGGAGGAAGTATCAGGCGGGAGCGTCGTCTGTGAGTGAATTGCGAGGAAGTCTCAGGCGGGAGCCTCTCCCTATGGGGCCCGCAGATCATCTTACTAATCCGAGGCGGGTCATTGGGATCCTGTAACTGTCGTCACTTTTGGGCTCCTGGGGCGTGAATTTGGAGGAAGTATCAGGCGGGAGCGTTGTCTGTGAGTGAATTGCGAGGAAGTCTCAGGCGGGAGCCTCTCTTTATGGGGCCCGCAGATCATCTTACCAATCCGAGGCGGGTCATCGGAAACCTGTAACTGTCGTCGCTTTTGGGCTCCTGAGGCCTGAATATGGGAGAAGTATCAGGCGGGCGCTCCATCCCTGTGGGGCACGCACTTCATGTTCGAACCCGAGCGGGTCATCCGAGCGAGCTTTTTGGGCTCCTCAGTTCCTGCGGCCTGAACAAGGGGGGGTTGTCCCAACGGCCTGGCCCGCGGGGTTGTCCCGACGGCCTGCCCTCGCGCTCCGGCGGCCCGCGGGAGTGCCCCGCAGGCATGGCTGGCCCGAAGGGTTGACCCGACGGCTTCGCGATCTGGCCGTCGGCAAACGCGCGCGTTCTGACCGAGGCGGCGACGGCGCCGAGGAAAATCGACTTGCTCCCCCCGACCGGGGGGAAAGGGACGTGCACGTGGAAAAGAGGCAGGAGGAGGATGAGGACGGAAGGGGTATGGGGAGGGCGATGATGAGGAGGAGGTGGAGAAGGAGGAGGAGGAGGAGGAGGAGGAGGGGGGGGAAATAGAAGAAGAGGAAAAGATGGCAGAGGAGAGGGCGATACGAGGGTGTTTGCCATGGCCGGGAGGAAAGGGATAAGGGAAAGCTAAACAGATTATCATGTGGGGTCCTTCCGTCGGAGTAATTGTGGGTTGCCGTTTTTTGTCAGTTTTGGTCGACCGCGGCACGAAAAGTTGAAATCGGAGGAAAACAAAACAAAAAACGCCCAAAGCGTTTCTGTGAACGGAGGGTGAGAGAGAGTAAGAGGATGCAAATGAGAGGAGGGAGGGAGGGAGAAGAAAGAGAGAGAGAGAGAGAGAACCCGCAAGGTGCTTATCTCTCAGGATTCGGGGTCATCCTGAAACCCCTGGCATAGCATGCCATTCCGCGGCCAGCGCTCCTCGCTGGTGAGCCTAGACAAGCGCGTTCCACGACTCGCAAAGTAACCACTCGCAAAAGGCCTGGATCCGCAGCGGGGGACTCACGATCTACTGCTCCGAAGCAAACAACATGTTTCTGTTCGGATGCTTGCGAGTAGGCAGTCTGCGAGTAGTGGAACGCGCTCGGTGACGAGAAAGAGAGAGAGAGAGAGAGTCGGGGGCGCGCAAACATGGATCGGGGGACGTGCCCTCCCCACAGTGCGGCCGGTGCCGCATCTGCGGCGGAAATGGCGATTCCCCATGAGGACAGGACCCGTCGCCAATCCACGCCCCCTTGCTCCGTGTTTGCGATCGCTTGAGAAAGAGAGAGAAAGAGAGAGAGTGCGTGTTGAAAAGGAGCGCGCGCACGCATCCCACTCCCCCGCCAGGACTGTTCCAGGGGGTGGGATGCGCCGGGGCGGGCGCTCACGGCGCTCGCGCCCCAGCCCCTCCCCCCCCCCCGCCCTGCCTCGGCGGCGCCCGAGAGCAGGAGAGCCCAGAATCGAATCGATAAGTCGGATCGGCGATCGACATGAATCGGATCGGCGGAGATCGGCAGCCAAGTCGGGAAGAGTCGAGTCGGCGGACATCGGCAGGCTGGTATGCCTCCAATAAAAAGCCGGGTCCCAAGTCGGAGTCCCAGGTCGAATCGGATCGGAATCGGAAGCCACCGAAATCGAATCGGATCCAATCGGAGGAGTCGATTCGAGCCCTGGTGAGCTCCCTCCTCGCCTCCACCCCCACGCCTCCCCCGCGAAAAAACAAGGTGGGAGGACAGGCGGGGGCAGGTGCCGCAGGGAGTAAGAGGGGGACGGAGAACGGGCGAGGGACGAGGCGGGGCGGAGTCCGCCGCCCCACGCCTGCCGGGGAGCGGCGATGCGTGGGAGACACCTGGCTGTCCCCCATAACCCTTCCCGGGGACGCACAGAGACATAGTAGTACAATATGTTCTCCTTGGAGGCGCGCACATCTAGCATACCCATCTTGTGGTATGCCCTTTCCCGAGCGGTGTGGCCAGGAAACGCCCGCCACGACACATATACTACAAGATTTCTCGGTGCGCCCGTCGCCCCTGGGGGGGGCGACGCACATATAGTATAAGTATGTTGGGGTGACGCCGACCTCCCCCTCCCCCAGGCTACAAAATCGCGTGTACTCCAGATCCCTTATTAATCGTCCCACGGGTCCAATTTTTCTAAGGCGCCATTTTTGTGGTCCTGAGGTGGTCCGGTTTATCAGGGCGCTTTCCTTGGATTGGAGCTCAGGGGGTCCGGTTTTATTAGGGCGCCCCGTCGAAGAGGAGGGTCTGGAAGATTGGGTCGCATTTGGAGGGGGGTCCGGTTCTTTAGATGGGTCGATTAATAAGGGATTTGGAGTAAGGGGGTGGGGGTTTGGGGGGGTCCCCAGGCGCCTAAACGCACCCACAGGGGCCATCTGGAGCCTCCAAAGCCAACACTCCGTGGCCTCCACAACGCCCAGGATGCCATCTGAGCTGGCTCGAGCTGGGCTCCAGCACGCCGAGGAGAGCTTCAACACAACCCCAGAAGGCCCCCAGAGGCAAAAGTCGTCCCAGTCCCTTGGCCTCTTCGGTCTCAGCAGCATCTAAGACTGCTCACGAGGCCTCCAAGATCGCTCCGAGACGGCCCAGGAAGCCCCCAAGAGGGCCCCAAGACGGCCCAGGAAAGCCCCAAGACAGCCCAGGCATCGCCCAAGATGGCCCGTGAGGTCCCAAACAGGACCCAACAGGGTCCCAAGAGGGGCCCACGAGGGGGAACCAGAACTGACGCTGCGAGCCCGCCGAGATCGCCAGCAACCGCCCGAGAGAAGGCCCGAAGCGGCCCCCGAGATGCCCACAAGAGGCCCCAATTGTCCCCGAGAGGCTCACCCGTGGACTTCGTTGTTCATCTGGGGGTTGGCGAAATGACGCAAGCCTCTTGAGTAAAGAGGGAGGGGCAAAGAAAAATAATGAGGACGCAGAAAAAGAGAGAGAGAGAGAGAGACAGGTTGAACCACGAGGGAGGGAAGAATGCAAGGGTGGTCGCCTCCGCGGTAGTCGTTTCGATTGCTTCCAACTCGGTGGTGGTCACCTCATCGCTGGTTCCGGCCGTCGCGGTGGTTCCCACCTCGGTGGTATTCACCTCCTCAATGGACACGGCCGTCGCGGTAGTTTCCACTGCAGTGGTGTTCACCTCCTCGCTGGCCCCAGTCGTCGCGGCAGTTTCCACAGCGGCGGTGGTCACACTCTCGCTGGCCCCAGCCGTCGCAGCAGCTTCCACCGCGGTGGTGGTCGCTTTGACGCTGGGCCCAGCCGTCGAGGTAATTTCCAACTCGGTAGTTGTCACCTTCTCGCTGGACCCGGCCGTCGCGGCAGCTTCCACCGCGTTGTTGGTAACCTTCTCGCTGGACCCCGCCGACGTGGTGACTTCCACCTCGGTAGTTGTCACCTTCTCGCTGGACCCGGCCGTCGCGGTAGGTTCTACCGCGGTGGTGTTCACCTCCTCGCTGGACCCCGCCGACGTGGTGACTTCCACCTCGGTAGTTGTCACCTTCTCGCTGGACCTGGCCGTCGCGGCAGCCACCTCGGTGGTGGCCACTTTCTCGCTGGGCCCAGCCGTCGTCGTCTCCTCACTGGAAGAGGGGAAAGATAAACGGGGTGAGGGAGATACAGAGCGTTGAAGGCTGGGGAGCCACGCTGCGAGAGAATCACAACGTCGGGCGTCTGGGGACATCAGGTCGGTGACCACCTCACCGATCAAGGGCCCAGAAGGGACCCGACCGGGATTGGTGAGGTGGTGTTGCATATGGTCCTCCACTCCCACACGTGCGACGTCCTGATTGCTTCAATTCCAGACATGCTCGCGTGGAACAAACAAATATCAGGACGACCAAAAAAATCAAAAACGGGTCCCGGGGAAAGGGTGGAGACGACCAGGGACCGCGCATGGAAAGACTCACAACGTCGCACGTCTGGGCCCGAAGTCTGGACCCTTTCCCTGGGGCCGGAAGCCGCCCCGAGCCGCTTCTTGCCGGTCCCGGGCCGGGCGAGGGCCCCCGAAACCCAAACCCCCGACGTAATGATTTGCTCATTACTTCGACCCCTAGAGGTCCCGACCCTTTCCCCAGGACCGGCTTTGCATCCTGCGTCGTTTTCTGACGCTCCCGAGGCCCGGTGAAGGCCCCCGGAGGCCGAAGATTTAGAAAAACATCCCGTCGTGACTTCTTCATTGCTCGAGGGGGTCTGGGTTCTAAGGAGCCTTCCCCCCTCCCCGCGCGCCGCCAGGTCTGGCCGATGGGGCCCGGGCGGGGGCTGAGGCCGGGCGGCGGGCGAGCAGGGGTTAACCCAAGCCCAGACGCCCGACGACGTGGCCGGTGTTACAGGCGCGGCCCTCAGAAGGCCCCGACCCCGCACATGCTCGCGCCGCGAAGATCGGTGGGCCTGTTTTCCACCACCACCACCAAAAGTTGGAGGGGGGAAGGAGGTGGATGACGAGGAGGAAGTGGAGGACGAAGGAGGAGAAGAGGAGGAGGAGGAGGAGGAGGACGAGGAGGAGGAGGAGGAGCCCCTCCCCCTCCAGCTTTATGGTGGTGGTGGCGGTGGAAAACAGGCCCATCAGTGCATGCTCGGGCCGCAAAAAGATACCGGACCGTCAACGTGTTCTTCTTCGGC